GCCGCAGGCCGGGGGAGCACCCAGACATTCGAAAGAATGCCTGAGAGTTTGCAGCTTCCCACGAAAACACCCCCATAACAGAATAAGCCCCTGGGAGCCATAGGAGGGAAAGTGCTGCAGAAACCCCCGGGCCCAGTGGGCGGGGGCGGGGCAGCCATGGGGACTGGCCTGCACCTGGCGGCTTGATCTTGATCCTCTGTCTGCCCCTGGAAAACAACCAGCCACTGCCTCCTCCTCCTCCTCCTCCCCCTCCCCCTCCTCCGGAGCGCTTAGCCCTGGGCCGAACGGGGACTTTCCAGCACCTTCCTTTCCCCTCCCCACTCCCCTGCCTTCAGCCCTCAGAGTCCCAAGTTGAAAAATCAAAGACACACACTTCTGCCTCCAGGCACCACACCCTGTCCCCTTCCTGCACAGCCACCTCCACCCTGAGGGGGGGAGGGGAGCGGAGAGGAAGACTCTCGATTCACTTGAGAAAAAATAAATGGGAAGTTGACCCTTCTGTTATCTCTGAGTCACAGGAGAGTAGGGCAAGAAGGACCCAGAAACCTAATGAGTTGGGTGGGACGAGCTCTCTCCCACCGAACACCCTTCAGGGGCTCTGGCTTATTCGAGGAGAAAGCTGAGGGCCCTGGGCGGGCAAAGGGTCCACAGAAACTGCCCCGCTTTCACGTCCCGTGTCACCTGCGGCCGCTCTCCCTCCCTTCCTGGGCTCCCGCCGCGGCGCACCGCGCTCCTGCGCCCCGGGACGCCCCGGGACGCCCTGGGACGGCGTGGGACGCCCTGGGACCGCCACGCGGTGTGAGCTGTGGGCTGGGCCCCGGCCCCACGCCGGGATGCTCTGCACCTCACACACGGGCGCGCGCGGCCCTTCCCTCGGGAGTCCTCAGGCCGCCTCGGGCCACCGCGGCTTTTAATAGCACACGAGGGATGACTCTCCTGAAAGAAGCCAGACACAAAATTGCAAAGTACGTGATTCAATTTATATAAAATGGAAAAACTGGCAAAACTGGTGTGTGGCGTCGGGGCGGGGTGGGGGGGCAGAGTCTGCAGCGGGGCACAAGGGAGGCTTCCGGTGGTGGTTACAGGGCCGTTCGCTTCTTAGATATTTCTAGATTTTTGTCTCTGAAGCTTGTCCTATATTGCATTTTTCTTTCTAAAATACCTTTAAAAGCTGAAATGCACGTAGCCACAAAGTGCACCAAACTTAGGTGTACAGCCCAGTGAATTTTTTCAGAGGCGCCCGTCTAGTTGAATTACTCATGTGTTTGGATTTGAATCATAGCATCTTAGCATTTCTTCTACATTTAATCTCACTTCTATTTTTCTTTTCCTGCTACTCTGAGTTCTTTGGATTAATTATTTTTTAAATTTTATTTATTTATTTTTGAGAGAGACAGAGATCATGCGAGCAGGGGAGGGGCAGAGAGAGGGAGAGAGAGCCCCAAGCAGGCCTGGAGTCTGACACAAAATCACACGAACCACAAAATCATGACCTGAACTGAAACCAAGAGTCAGACGCTTAACTGACTGAGCTCCCCAGGCAGCCCTTGATTTATTATTGTTAATACTCCATTTTTCCCTCTATTCAATTCCTTTTTTTAAATGTGTATTTATTTATTTTGAGAGAGAGAGATATATAGAGCATGAGTGGGAGAGGGGGATAGAGAGAGAGAGAGAGAGAAAGAGAGAGAATCCCAAGCAGGCTCAGCACTGTCAGCACAGAGCCCCACGTTAAGGCTCTAACCCATGAACCACAAGATCATGACCTGAGCCAAAATCAAGAGTTGGACGCTCAACTGACTAAGCCACCCAGATGCCCCGCACCTGACTCTTGATCTCAGCTCAGGTCTTGATCTCAGGGTTGTGAGTTCAAGCCCTGTGTTGGGCTCTGCACTGGGCATGGAGCCTACTTTAAAGAAAAAATGAGGGGAAAAAAGAAGTCCTACAACTCAACAACAAAGACCAAAAGAAAACAAAGCAAAAACAAAAACAAAAAAACACCTCCCCCCCCAAAAGAATACAAATGGGGGAATAGACATTTCTGCAAAAGGATATACAAACAGCCAACGAGCACATGGAAGGTGTTCAAGGTCATTAATCGTTAGGGAAACACAAATCCAAAGCACATGAGATAGGACGGACTTAGAGTGAGTTATTAGTGAAATAAGTCAGAGAAAGACAAATACCATGTGATTTCACTTCCATGTACCAGAAAGCAGAAGGCAGACCTGTAAATACAGAGGAGAATTGGGTGGTTGCGGGGAGGGGGAGGGTGGAGGCCAGGTTCCTGGAGGAGCATAGTCAGTGGGGCTGTGAATGCGTGTGTGGGGACAGATGGCGGCGGCACATGTGGTGGGCACAGCATGATGTATAGACGTGTGGAGTCAC